TTGCGTCATTTAGAATTTAATATGGTTTTTATAACAAAATGACTTTGAACTTGTCTTGCACAAAGTCGCCTTACGGTTTTACAGAAATGTGAGAATAGTGAAGTTTGTAAATCTTGGAAAATAAGCCACATTTTGACTGGTCGCTCATATGGCAGCTAAATGATGTACTGGTTCGATGTTGATAAGATTTTACATAAATATGAAGAGCAAAGTTAAACTTATAAATGCCAAGTTTGGGCGTGATATCTTGATAAACAAACAAATGTTTTATACAAGAACTTACTTCTCGACCAATCGTTCCTATGATAGCTATATGATAAGGTTATCCGATCAGGCGGGTTCCGACATATATACAGCCTGCAAAGTTTCAAGACGATATCTTCAGACTGAGAGACAGACGGACCTGGCTAAATCTGTTGATGCTGATCGAGAAAATATAAACTTTATTATGCGTTACACTTAATAATAGCCCCTATAAGGGTATAATAGATGAATAATATAAATAAGTATTATTATTATTATCATTACCAGTGCAAAATATGCTAACAAACTATCGAACATACTTATTAAATATGACTCCAGCCAAGAGAATGCATTTACTGGCTGACTCGTACCCAGATGCTCGTTGCACAAAATACACAAGAGCGTTATATTTAGATATCTATATATACTTACCTTTATTAAATGCCATTTGCTGGCTAGCTCACAAACGTGTCTAATGCATGGCTGTCGAGCTTATCAGGACTTTATTAGCCTCCAGATATCCAATGGCAATAATTGCGACAGCAATAAGCCGACTGTTTTTGAAATCTCAATATCTACAAATCAAGCCAAGCAGCTATTGCGATTCTGCTTTTGGACATGGACACCAAATTAGAGGCACCTTTTGTGGCGCTTTCTGATATTCCAATATCCGGCTGACCTGCTGCTTGTGCCATATCCTGTTTCCTGTGGATGTCTGACTGCAGTTGCTGCTGCTGCCGTTTGTGTGGTTAGTCTCTACACGGCAATTTTAGCTGCAGGCCACAGCTAGTTGTCATGGCAACTGCATTGTTAAGTGTCCACTGCAGGCCAAGCCAGAAAGGGGTAAAATTTAACAAAGGCTACGACAACCGGATGCTTGTGACACCGCCCTCTACCGTTCTGTCTTCCTCCCTCTCTCGCTCTCTCTCTCTCTCTCTCTGTCTCTGTTTCTCTATCTGTCTTTTGCCAGGCACTGTTGTTAATCCAATTTGGTTTTGGTTTTCTACATTAGAAACTGACATTTATTACTTGCCGCGTGCGGACATATTTCAGTTCAACTTTATAGTGCAGATTTGCGTATTGTCCAACACAGGTTGCTTTTGGACAGCTTAACACTCGCTTACAACGATTGCCGCAAGTTGTGCTAGGCATTTAACCGTGTGCTGTGCAGTAGCTAAGGCTCAGCTCACATCCGCCCCATAAATAAACGAAGAGAGCCCAAGCTAATGCTCTTTATTATGCCCCTGCCGAGAATATTGTGATATTCCTTGCTAAAAAAGGGCATCGATATTTGGCAAGATATCTTAAGCAAACGCAGCATTTGCGAGCTTTGGTTTACCTTTTATCTATTTACCTTTTGAGGTAGTTCAATTCACGCTTAAAACCCATGTCTCGTCTTAAGATTCGGTTCGTAACCTTGGTATTCCACATCTGTGAAGCCAGGTTTTTATGCGTATCGCTCTATGTTTTGGATTCCTGCTTGAAAATTCGTAATGCTTAAGGTAATTAAAATATTCTTATTGCAGGTTCAATGCAGTTCGTCTTTAACTTATAAGTGAGCTCTTGTCCTCATGGCACTATTACTACATAAAGTTGGAATAGAAAGGTTAAGTTGAGAAACATTAATCATATGGCTCGGATCAGCATATTATACTGCATTCCAAAGGTATTTCTGCTGGAGCACAGCCAAAGATAAAAGTGCTTTGTTGTCTTTTGTGTTAACTTCTTTAAAGTCGGGTTACACGTGCTCACATTGAGCCAGTCGAGTGCTTGATATATTTACATATATATATATATATATTTATATATTGAAGTGGCCCAAATGGGCGTGGCTTTGGCGTCTGCTTGAGTCGCTTAGCTTTGCGGCTTGCATGCAAATTTTATGTTTTAATAACAAGTCTCTGGCATGCAAGCGGCGCATATTTTATGCCAATTGCCGTGCCACGCTCCAGGCCAAAAAAACAAAAAAAAAGGGAAGAAAAGAGCCACAACAGTTATGCTACAGTTAGCATGGGCACCCCACCCCTACGCCCACTTCAAGCTACCATTTCGGCCTCAGGGATTTCGCTTTGTCTTTGTTTTACGGTTTCACCTTTGTGCTTGACTCTGTGTGCACGTGTGCCCGGCTACGCGCGTGTGTGTGTGTGTGTGTGCAACTTGCCCCAAAGCTGCTTATTTTTTAACCCAATTGTTGTTTGGGTCCTGTAAATCAGTCACGCCCATATTTGCATACCCGCACCCTTCGGCTGCCCACTTCCTCTGACTTGCTTAGCAAACAGTTTTCTTAGCTTTTTGCTAATTGCGTTTTATTGGGTCGCATTATTGCAACTTTCATTTCTTAATAGCAAAGCAAGCGGCACACTTCTGTGTAATATTTTGTATTTCAATTTACATTTTATAAATATATATATATATACATATATATATATATATAGTTATATATTTATATATACGAGTAACGACTAGGTTACTAGATCACGCAAATCGTGCGCTGCGTGTCGCATGCGTGTAGAATGCAAAGCGAATGCAAATGCAAATGCTGCATAAAATATGATTGCCGCAATTATATGTGTCCAGCTAGCGGCATTGTTGCAAGTGCCAGCCATTGTGATTGTGTAGTGCTCCTTCCGACACAATGCACTGTGGCAGCTGTTAAGCTACTCATGATTACAATTTCAGCAGTCAAGTCGGGATTTTCTCTTTACGTATTCCTATTTATTCATAAATGTGAAGCGTTAGAAAGGGAGTACTCGGCTGGCAGTTACTCTACAACCAGTTAGGGCGCCTAACCAAAGCTCAAGTCCAAGTTATACGTGTCATGTCTATAATTGTCTTAGTTTTATCAAAGTTCACAAGCCATCAAGAAAATGTGAAAACTGTTTATGCAATTCAGATGGGAAGAAGAAACAAGTAAGTTTGTCAACACTCCAGTAAAAAATGTGTGTGCGCAAGGTTGTTTATTGCGTTTACCAACACTGTGCGTTGCTTTCAGGTATCAACACGTTTATTCTATCTGCTTGGCTTAGCTTAAATATATCTAGATATTCTTTTTCTACTATTTAATTTCTATTCTTCAAAAAGTTTTTGTTAGCTTTTAATTTTAAGTATTCCAGGAATTTTGCTAGCTCACATTTTTTGTTGCCGTTTGCTATGTTTGTGCCCACTGTGCGGTGGAGCATAAAGATTTAACTAAGATTTCTGTTTTCATTGCAATTTTTTTTTGCCATTCTTGTTTTTATCATTTTGCTTGCTGCTGCATATTGTGTGTGTTTCGCAGTTTTTTGCTGGCCGCGTAGATTTTCCGTTTTATTTCGCACTTAATTAAAAATATTTTGCTGACGTGTGACACGCACATAGATGGGTGTGGCCTCAGCTACAGGCGACCCACCAGCCAACCCCCGGCCCACCCATCCACTCCGCGATTTGCTGCCTTTCCGCCAACTGCACTGACAACATAACACTGCATTTTATTTTTATTTTCAAGCTGTCTTCTTTAATTGCAGCTTTTAAAACTAGATTAAAAACAAAGACAAAAAAAAAAATAGGTAGAGAAGCAATATAATTTGATTACTTGCTGCAAAATTTGGCATGGGGGTCAGCAGTTCTTGTAGATGGTCGTGTTCACCTCGTAGTAGCAAATGGCCTTCTTGACGCCATCCTTCGGATTCAGGGAGTAAACGGTGCCGTGCACCGTGTACACTGTGTTCGCCTGATACATAAACTTCAAGAGTGGCGTATCGGGCGGCACCTGAATGATGTTCATCACATAGATGCCCTGCTTGAGCGGGCAGGCGAGGCTCATGTTGCTGCCGCCGCCCGATAGGATGAGCTTTGCCGCCACATTCCAGGCGCTAACACGTCGTATATATTTCCAAAAATCGCACGTCTTCACCGTCGCATTGTAGAGCGTACGCGGCGGCTCTGGTCGAACGGCGCCGCGACGCTTGCTCGGATGCTGGACGAACACCAAGTGCCACAGCGGTATGGCCACATCCTGATGCACATACGTGACCGATGACAGCGAATTGTTTCGCTCATGCATTTTCATCACCAGCCGATATTTGGGCGTGTCCCAAGTGCTAAAGTTCAGCGGCTTCATTAAATAGCAGTACTGCAAAATTAACATATAAATCAGAAATTGAACAAACACAAAAATTTTAAATAACTTTATGCAAATATAGCAGTTTTATCATAAATAAATGAGAAAAATTCCGTTCAAATAATAAAAGCTAATAACTTAAATTCGCAAAATATTTTTGGTATTAATTTAAATCACATTTGGCTCCAAAATTTTATTTGCAACCCTTTATAATTTTTTTTTTATTTTAAAATGGGAAAATCATAGCTAAAGAATAATACAAGAATAAGAATACGTCGGTATTTAGTCTTAAATTAATTAAAATCCATTCTAGACTTTAAATTGAAGTCTTTGATTTCATTTTGTTTTCAAAAATTTGCGAAATTCTTGTTTTTTTTTTTCGAGTGCACAGATTGTTTTCTCTTATTTGATTATTTATTTTATATATGTATCTTCAGATTCTGATCAGGTCATGTGTAACAAGTTGAAGGAGACATAATCTATTCAATAGACAAAGCAATTATCTATTATATTTGCTATATAGCTGCTGTCTCTCTCCCTCTCTCTCTCTGTCTCTCTCTCCTCCCCTTGCGCGCTCTTGCAAAGCACTCACCTGCTTGGCCAGCTGCACAAGTGCGAGCATTGTCAGGGCTCGGAGCACACGTCTATTGTAGTTCATAATGTGACACCAAATGTTAAAATTGTTAACTAAAATTGATTCGCTGCCAGGTTATTTCGCTTGTCTAATGATTATTTAATTGATTTTTGATAACGCCTTTGTTATTGTTTTAATGGCTCACTTAAATAAAAATAACAACAAAAAATAAATTAAAATAAAAGTAAATAAAAATTAACATATATATGCCGCACACATAAAAAAAACAAACAGCGCTGTAAAATGTAATTACAATGTTTCACCTCTCACATAATGCGCCCAGATCTCTGGGCAGATTGTATACGGGGTTTATTTATTTGGGCCTTCAGTCAACAACAACAATCAAGCAGTAACTGAGACGGCTTCGAGGGTGTTAGCAACATTTTAGATTGTGGGGCATTGTTTACTTATCAACATCAACATCATCATCATCATCATCATCATCATCATCAACATCAACATCATCTTTATCATCGTCGTCATCATCATTAGTTGCTTTATGGTTGGCATCACAGTTTTGCAACAGTAATTGTTAAACTTTTATTGTTGACTTAGCTAATTAGCTTTCGCTTACAAAAGTTGGCTTTACAGTTTTGATGGCGCCTCTGAAGCAGATATCCGTAGCAGTTACATTTAGCTCACGTACATATCCGTAAAGCCCTTTCCGGTTTCCGGTTGCTGTTTCTGTTGCTGTTTCTGCTTCTGTTGCCCAGCTTCTCGCAGCTCGCATTGAACATGCAAAGTGTCGGCTGCTGTGACACCACAACAAAAGCAGGCAACAACAATCACAACAGCCATAACAACAATGACCGCTGCCAGCCTTGCAAAATCCTTTGTTGACACACACACACACACACACACACACACACTCACACACACACCCCCGCCTCACTTGAATACATCTCATATTTACTCACGGGTTATTTTCCAGCAAATATTTGCACTGCTTACCAGCAGCTTCTACTATGACATTGGCTTTTCCACAATTTACATTTTACCCATTTTCCGCACGCTTGCCAATTTTCCATTTCCCTAGCCTACTTTGCGGCTGCTTCTTGACTTTGTTGGAGCTGTCGCGTTTATCTGATGCACAACAAAAAAAAATTACGCGTCTCCCTTCCACTCTCTCTCTCTCTTTTTCGCTGTCTCGCTCTCTCGTTCTCACTTACTCTGTTGATTTATAATACAAAGCAACATCATAAAACTGCTTCACTCAATTTTCAATTTTCACACAAACACACAAACACACACACACACACACACCATTAGGGGTGTGTAGGAGACAGTGGCATCCACATTTTTCCTTACCCCCCACCAAAGAACAACAATGAGAAAAGCAACAAAAGCAACAACTATGGCTTCCAATGCAAATGGCCGTCGTGTCGTTTGTCTGTTGGTTGTCTGGTTGTCTGGTTTGTTGGCCCAGATGATTGGACTCTGCCTCGTTGTTGTTGCTGCTGCTGCTGCTGCTGGTGTTGTTTTGTGGATCTTGGTTTTTTGGGTTGGGTTACTTTTGCCATTTGTTTCGTTGCCCTGGCTACAATTGTGCCAAAGAGTTGAGCGAGCAACTTGCGAGATTTCAGCTGAAAATTGGAAATTTAATGTAAAGAATAATGGAATCATTTTAATTTTGCATTTCCTCACAGCTCTTGTTAGGTAGAATTTATGCTAACATATTTCAGTCTTCCTTCGTCAATACTATATGTTCTCTAGCTCTTTACTGCAAAACAGTTTTATATACCCAAGGGTTAAAGAAATCAATCGATGGTTTGATAAAGTAAAGCTTTCACCTGCAGTACATTGAATTCACTTCGAGTTTTCATTTGCTTTTGAAGCGCTTTCAGTGGGAATCAGATTTGACTAAATATTTGAAAGAAATGTTGAAAAGATTTGTTGTGCTTGCATCACAAATAATTTGCTTTGAGCTTTCATGTGCTTTCGAAGCGCTTTTAGCGAGTTAAGTTTATTTTGGCTGCATATGTTGAAGCTTTCATGTGCTTAGAAGCTTTATTTACCTATTTGAATGGATGTGATTTTAAAGGAAATTTTTCTTGCTGAAAAGCAGTTACTAAAACAAACTTAAATCAATAAATACTTGAAATACTTAAATAAAAATGTCTGAATTTATTTGCATTAATCGTTCATTAAATTGTCTTCAAATGCACTCGGAAATTACTTTTCTTCTCTTATTTTTTTGAATAAAATTATAATAGTAAACGTATTTCTTTTAAGAGTATCTCCATTGTGACCTTAGCTCAATCAGCGTCGAGCATTTATTGCCAGTCTATTTCTCTCCTCCCCTCTCACTCTCTCTCTCTCTCTCTCTCTCTCTCTGTCTCCCTCTGTGGACGTTCCTTTGGTTTTTGTCTATTACTTGGATTTGACGGTCTACAGCTATATCAGAGCTGCGGGAAGAGCTGGCATACCCCGAGCGCCATTCATTTTCGAGTGTAAAATTTATCTATTTGGGTTGCTTTTATATCACATTTTGGGCAGCTTGTTGTTTGTTTGTTTGTTTTTGTTATCGTTGTTGTTGTTGTCGTTGTTGTTGTTGCTCGTGTTTTTGATTTGTTTCAATAAGCTTTTATGGGCTTTTAGTTGGTCGATTGGTGGCTCAAATTGTTGTTATGTGTTTATTTAGTTGATTTGCCAGCGCTTTGGCCAACAAAATGTCACAAAACCAACAAACGGCAAATGATGTCAATATTCCAGTTGAGTATCGAGCGGGGGCCAATGCGCCCAAAAGTATGCCACATAAGTGCCAACTTTAATGCACATTCAGTTGGTAAAGGGGTTGTGGATTGATTGACAGACAGACAGACAGACAGACAGCCGGCCTGGGAACTCGTCTCTTCTCTCTGCTCGCTTCTCGCTTGCCTCTACCCGCTGCTCGCATTTTTGCTTATCGCTGCACAGCACGGGGGCCTTGAACGTTTTATGATTGCACTTTTCAGCAATAAAATAAAGCATACACTTGCACAAGCACACACACACGCGCCATACACACTGCTGCTGCTTACGTCGCCGCCATCATCAGCAGCAGCCGCAGGCAATGAGTCTTGACACCAGTGCTGAAACTTTAATAACCTCAGACTGTGCCGCTGCCCAGCAGATGCAATAAAATGTCTGCTGGCTCATAAAAACCAACATACTAATACCCACACCTCATGCATTTATCATATATACACACTCGCCTCCTAGTCCCTATGCCCGTACTTTGCAAAAATGGAAGCTGCATGTTCATGGTTACAACAACAACAACAACAACGAAAAAGGGCATCAAAAACTAAAACAGCAAAACTAAAAACAACAAGCTGCTGCCTATCGAAGACTGAATACACTTTTAGAGAAGGAAAGGATGATTCTATATATAGAAAGCATTTTGTGCTCTAATTGTTTGCAGCCGAGACCTCAAGAGCATTTTTTTCACAGTATTTACCTTTTGTGTTCGGGTAGCCTGCCAAGACAGGGCCAGGAAAAACTCCACCCGCAACTGTGGATATTTGCTGGACAATGCAGATATGCAACTTTTTTTGTTTCTTTTAAACGTAGTTTTCAAAGATCTTTGTGAACATTTTCTGTTAAAAAATCGCTCTCGGGCGAAAAATGAAGGTCAGAGGTTGTGTAAGCGAAAGTTTGAATTCCGGCTTCCCTTTCATTTTGAAAGCTTTTCATTGAATTGAACTATTTTAAAAGTTTAGCTCAATAGAGTTAACAGAGCGAAAGAAGAAGAATTGTTTTTTTCATTTGAAACATCTTTTTAAAATATTGTTCGAAACGTGGGCTTCAAGTTAGTTCAGCTAGATTCAAAACTTCCCAAGGGCGGGAAATGGCCGTCAAAATGTTGTCCAACACTTGAAGCAAATACTCGGAGCGGGCTAAGCCGGGTAATACTGTAATATTCGCTCAGTATCTATATAGGCTTAATATATATGTATATTGCCGTTGTAATATATTGTCGTTGCAGCCCAACATATTTTGCTTGTCTTAATATATGGTATACAATATATTCATACATCGACACACAGACCAAGCTTATACACTATTATTTCGCAAGCTCGTCCTTTAAAGCCTGACACAATTGCCTATTAAATCTACATGGTCTAAAGCAAAGGGTATACACATATATAGAACCGACGGCATGTCGAGTCACGGGGTCAGTGGAGCGGGTGCCGCTGTCAGCTGTCAGCGCGACGCCATTGCAGCTCATAAACATGAGGGTCGGCCATACAGAAACACCCAGCCCCAGCAGCCCGGCGGCGCGCAGAGCCCACCAAGTTTCCATAGCTCTCGCAGGGAAGCACTCAGTTTGTCAGCGCTAGCTTGTTGCCCACAGGGCCGTCTGTCACTTGCTGTTTGGACCAACGCGTCATATTTATTTCCAGTCATACGAATGCTTTGACATTGCCTGCATAATCGTTCAGGCTTATCGGGCGTGTTCTCGCATCCAATATCGCTGCACATATAGCATATTCTATTCGATATGCATTCAATTAGAAAATATATCTATTTTGATTTTTCCATACGTATATGTTATAAAATTGCAGAACTGCGCAAGTTATGTGGCAACGCGAGGATGCGAGAACTGGAATTACAAGTTGAATGTAGTTTTGTCTTAGCCGAAGGCAATGTTAATTATAATAACAGCAAATATTCCTAAGTACTCCAAGATTTGTCAATAACGAATTTTACCAACATATGTATGCTATACTATACATCGCACACATATTTCTTGACCATTTTCTTAGCACGTTTCTAAACCGATTTCCCAATAATTCTTCTCTGATATATACGTATATTTTCTATTTATATTCAAATTGTCATTGGTTTTGGGAACACATTGCAATTGCCTGGATAATTACAAGCTAAAATCATCGCACTGAATCCATGTGTGACGGTTTCAGTCCACATTTGCTGCTCATCCATGCCAAGTGCTTAATTGCATATATGCAGCATGCCAATGAATGCTCATCTACTCATCTATGCTGGACCCGTCTAGTTGGTCCTGGCACTGCCGACCATTATCCCATCATGGGGCTGGCTACGTGCTATACCAGACCAGAATTACGTATGTGTGCCTCTGTGCGTGTGCGTGTCTCTGTGTGTGGGGGGGGCAAGTATATGAATATCACGCATTCGCCACGTACGCCACTTCATTACATCAGCCTGTTATTGTTATGGCTGCTGTTGCCGTTGTTCTACTGGTTGTAGTTGTTGTTGTAGTTGCTGTTGCTGCTGCTGCTGCTGCTGTTGTTAAATTCCCGCGTTGCCGTCAAGACAAAACATGGCCCATCAATCTCTGACAGCGCCTATGCAAAACTCTCTGTCTGTGTTGTTGAGTGTTTGGCGGTGCCGCCTTCAGGTTCTCCAGGGGCAGCGCATAGGGCACTCGTAAATTTCATTTAATCACTCGAACCTTCGACTTTGATGTAGTACGTAAAAATATTAAAGTCCAAACTGTCGGACTTGGCCATTTAATGGCCTGGCCCCTCGCCACCAGAGGTGGGGGAGAAACAGAGAGAGGCTCACAATTTATTGGCAGCGCCGCTGCTCATGAGCCAGGTGAAAAATTGGGTCAGCTCAGTGGCAGCATTACCAAAGTCGAGCTCGGCCATTCAACAGAGCTGCCCCAGCACAAGGTCAAATTGGGCCGCCGACTCGCCGACTCGCTGACTCGCGGACTCGCGGACTCGCTGGCCTGTTGCTGTTGCGAGTGCAAATTTATGTTTAGACTAATTGCAGCTCAGCCATTCCAAAATGCGGTATAAGCCAATAGCTTTAATTGGCAACAGACGTCAACAGCTCGCAGGGCAAAAATCCGCGTGCTCCTCTCCCTCAGCCAACCAT